AAATCTATTAAACGAAAACTTTGTTCAAAACTTGATGCAACACGATAATGGTTACAAGGTTTTGAAAACCGTAAAGTCCTCACCTGCACACTGGAAAGCTGAGTAGAAAAAGGCAATCGCTATGATTCGCCAATTTGGGCTTGTATATCGCACTCCAAGCTGTTTTTTTATACTCTCGCAACATGTAGCTACTAAATATTATATAATAGTTTTGTTGACCTAACGGTTGTTTGTATCACCTAAAATAAATCAAGTAAGATAAAGGGTTATGTATATATAAAAAACAACTAAATTCCATAGCTAAGCTCCACAATAAGTTACAATACTGTTATTTGGTATACAGGATCACATTACAAAGGGGCATCCGCAGTTTAAACTTTTTTAAAAGTTGGCGTGGTCCCGCCCCTCATAGATTTAATGTGCATATCTCCTAAACCATTAAAACTATAAAAATAGAATTCACTGAGAGCAAAGCAGCTCTATCGACGGTGTGAAAATGGGTGAAATCGGGTGACAACCTCCCCATTCCCCATATAACGGTACTGTTAAAAACTACTAAAAGCGCGATAAATCAAGCACTAAACACACCAGAGACATTAAATTTTATCTCTGTGATGGTATGAGATGACTGTTTAGGAACCGCGCTATGCTAAAGTGATCTGATCTAAACAATTACTTCAGTCATGCCAAATTTCTTGAAGATATCTCGTCAAATGAAAAAGTTTTCAATACAAGCACTTGATTCTGATGGTTCAGTTTCTAAGGCAGCTATATGCTATAGTAATCTGATCTGAACTATTTTCTTAGAGACTACATCATTGCCTTAGATAATAATCCATGCAAATTTTCTTGAAGCTAGCTTTGCAAATGAAAAAGTTCTCAATACAAGCCGATCGTTCAGTTTGTAAAGCAGCTGTATGCTATAGTGATCCGATCTAAACTATTTCCCGGGAAATTGCATACAGGCCAAGTTTCGTGAAGATAGCTCCTGAGTTCAGTTTGTGTGGCAGCTATATGCTATACTAGTCCGATATAGGCGGTTCTGACAAATGAGCAGCTTCTTAAGGTGAAAATGACGTGTGCAAAATTTCAGATCGATTTCTCACAAACTGAGGCACAAGTTCGCGTATGAACAGGCAGACAGACAGACGGACACGGCTAAATCGACTTTGCTCGTCATGTTCATCATTTAGATACATATTTTATAGGATCACCGACGTTTCCCCCTGGGTGTTACAAACATCGCGACAAATTTAATATACCCTGTTCAGGGTATAAAAAACACTCATATTCCAAAGGTTTAACATTATTGTTAAAAAAAAAATTATAATTAGTAGTACAATAAAAAAAGTAAATTACAAGTATTTTAATATTTTAAAGCCTTTAATTTAGAGAGATCATACACAACTGTTTTAAGCGTTTATGCCACTTCATTTTCTTTGATAATGTTGCCAAGCATGTCAGTCTTAACACCTTGTTATAAATAAATTTAGAACGAAATCTATTAATTCATTTGAACAAATATAATTTTAAAGCCCAATGGTGTACTTTTATGATACATTTTTCTGCCAATAGCTTGTACTTCGTTGCACAAATCTGTTGCATCTACTCATATCCGTCAATTCAACGTGAGTCAGTGATATTTATAATCTAATATCTATCTAATCTTAACTTTCTTTATAATGTTAAAAATCGCTGTGTATCAGTATTGCCCTTCAGAAGTTTGCATCTGATCAATATTAAATAAGAATCCAAAAGTTTTGGTAACTTGTTCCAACTGATCGCATCTTTCATCGACTAAGGACAATGCAGTATCAATAATGGCAAAATAGAAATTAATTTTAAAATTTTGCTTAACATCGCGAATTGGCTCATTTTCTCCCTTATAATTGAACTGTCTTTTCTGTTTTTCAAGCGAACTTTGGTGCCATTTCTGATTCGAATGTTCATACATACATACATACATGAATATGTGTTAGCACGGCAAAGAACATCAACTCCTTAAGGGTCTTGTATAAAAACTGATGTAAACAAACATATGTGTGTGTATATGCATCTCTCTTTAACGTTTGAGTATTCCGAATTGATTCACTATATATCTAACCTGACATTTTGTTTTGACACAAAGGTTCGATGTACGCTTTTATATGAGTACGTTTAGATAAAAAGTTCTCGACGCGTAGCCAAGAAAAATATGGGACAGCTCTCATCTTTTTACGCTTTGCCAAGCAACAGTCAAGTTTTATGTGAATGGGCGTTTATGACTAATAGCCTATGTACATAGAACTTTTGCTTAGCTTCGCGTCAGGCATTTGTTTTGAGTGCCTACAAAGATTCCAGCTTTTCTTTCGCCTCTGAAAGCTTTGGAAAAAAAATTTTCAAATATTGGAAAGACGATTAGGGAACCAGATGATCCCTCCAAATCCTCGGAACTGCAAACTCATTGCTCTTTTTTTCACCGCGATACCACCCTACAATAAAACGTAGCATTATAACCTCATTAATGTTATCATAATAGTTAATAATTATTATAAACAAGTAAGGAAGGGCTAAGTTCGGATGTAACCGAACATTTTATACTCTCGCAAAGTCAAATAATATACTCGTTTTAGATTTCTTTGTGGATCTTGCCGCCTTGCAGATGCCCCTCCCTAATGCGATCCTGTATACTAAATAAGAGTCCTGTATCTTGTTGTGGAGCTTAGTTATGGCAATTTATTTGCTTTTGATTAATGGCGTTTTGTGGGCGTGGCAGTAGTCCGATTACGCCCATCTGCAATGCCAACCGTCTTAAGGTACCCAGAAACATGTGTACCAAGTTTAATAAAGATATCTCAATTTTTACTTAAGTTACAGCTTGCACAGACGGACGGACAGACAGTCACAGGGATTTCAACTCGTCTCTTCATTCTGATCATTTATATATATATAACCCTATATCTAACTCTGTTAGATTTAGGTGATACAAACAACCGTTAGGTGAACAAAACTATTATACTCTGTAGCAACAAGTTGCGAGAGCATAAAAAATAGGAAAGAAGTGCAAAATCCAGAATATTTTTGGTCCGAATTTTTAACAGGTACCTTATAGTAAGCTTAATATGTGTCGCAAATTTTTAAATTTTTACTTAATTCATATAAATATAGCAAAACGAGTCAGCGTCTTGTTTACAACTTTTCGAAGACATTTTGTATTGGTTGTTACAGGAAACAAAATTATGAAATACATTATTCTTCCGCAATTTGAAAACACATACTGTCGTACACAATGAGCGATGCAAACGATACTATCTCCCGTGGTCTTCCCTCTCTTATAACGGCCGGGAAGGCCGACATTATGTGCGCGCGAAAATCAAAAATGATTAAACGATATAATTTCTTAAAAAGGTAATATTTTCGGTTTGTAATCGTCCTTTCTTAATTATATTTGCTTATATAACCAGAATATATTAAGTAAAACCCATGTAAAAAAAATTTTTTGTTGTTGACCTGAGTTATTCTGTTTTATAACAGAAAACGTAAAAAATGTGCTCACTAGTGTCTTTCTTAAGAAGAAAAATTTAATTCAGTTGATATTTTCTACCGAACTTTAATACGATATTTAGGATTTTAATTTCTGTTTAAATAATATATAGGTACATTCGTTATTTGATATCTATCAGCTAATATTCAGCCAGCTGTAAACACTGATAAGGAGAAATATACAAATTTCCACGAAAAGAAACCTCGGAATATTATTGTTAATATTTTTTGTACCCATCAGCTATTATCTAATTCTTAATATAATATGTAAACCTTAAGCTCAAATGAAGAGAAATATACGTTCGACGGAAGGAAACCTCCGAATATTTTTGTTTATATTATTTGTACCTAATAAAACAAGTTTAGTCCTCTTATATACCCTATTACGAAAACATTTCATGTTGAAATAATAACACTTTTGGGACACTTTACTAGAGGACAAGCTTTTTAAAATTGTTTGTATTATTTTGACAACTTTGGCAGAGTGGCATTACAGACATTGACTTTAGACGTCAATAAAATAGTATTGTCATCTTGTCGCTTATACGAAAACGGCAACAGGTGTTAATCTAATCTGTGGTAATTCAACCTTTACTTACAATAACAACCACGACCAATGTAAAACTCAATTCATAATAGTAGAAGCGGGCGCAATGAGCCATCTATTACTTGTTAAGAAATGTTATTGCAATCGGTGCACAAGTGAATTTTCAGTAAAATTTCTTGTTTTCTTTTCGATTATCCATTTCTTTATATTGACTTTGTGAAACTTCCTTCTCTTATTCAAAGGTTTAAACTCACACTCATTGGGTTAGCTCAATAGACGCGATTGTTGAGAATGCGCAATTTAAACACAATTTTATATATTATATATTTGATCATCTCAACAATTGACGAAATCTGTACTCAAATTATTTATTGTTATTAATTGAGGCAATTCGGAAAATTTAGACAAAAATTTGGTATACTTTTGACACCCGAATATTTAATACTTTTATTATTAAAATGTTCTCAATATACAAAATTACAACTTTTTAACTTTTATTTCTGATTTGCTTGATTATTTTTGTAAACTAACTTTTTTGAATTAAGCCTAAAATTCACTTGCAGTACTCAGTGCCTCATGGTTTGTAATATTGAAGAATTGTCTTTGTATGTATATGTATCATGTATGTATGTACATTTTGAAGTAGGGTAATGAAAAAATATTGTTGGTTTCTAATTTTTAGCCTCGAAGAAAAATAACAATTTTTACTCAATTATATGTACATTTATGTATGTACGCACTTAAATGAATGTGTTTTATATACATATATACATATGTATCTGTATACTCTTTTATATTATCCAAGATAAACTTTACACAATATGCTTTTTTCTAATCATTGTGTGCAAATTATTGTATTATTATCTGAAAATGCTGAGAACGCTATCATGGATAAGTGTAACAACATATCTATATATATATTTTCATTTACCTCACTTTCTCTTAATGTAGGATTTGTTTATACACTTAAGACGGGCACATTACACATCCAGCACACCATATTCCGACAGAACATTTTTATAACATTTACCTAAAAATACAAATATAGCCAGTCCGACATTTTATTGAACGTTCAACCTAAACAACATAAAACCACAAATAATAAGAATTTTCGCGCAAGCGCTAATAATTGATATCTTAAATGCCCATACTTATCGAACGCATTTAAGACGACATAGAATTACTACGGGTTGTACCATTAGAATGGATAACGGCTTTTACTTTTAGAAAAATTAGCACAGTTAATTATAATCTCACAACCAAGCAAAGCTATATCGATCAAGTTTACCAAACAAATTTATGTATAGCATGTGTAAAGAACATATAACAGTAATAATGAAGATATCGGTGTAACACTTTGTATGGCAGCTATAGCATATATACATAGTGGTCCTATCTCAACTATTTGTTCAGAGACAGTACTGTTGACTCGGATAATAATCCTTGTCCAATTTCGAAAAGATAACTTTAAAATAAAATAGTTTTCCATAAAAGGATTTGGTTTTGATCGGGTAGTTTAAATAACAGTTGTATGCTATAGTGGTCCGATATAGGCTGTTTCGACAAATGACCGTAATGAAGAAGGCGTACAAAATTTTAGACCGATATCTTAAAAACTGAAGAACTAGTTCACGTATATATAGACAAACGCACAAAGCGAAATCGATTCAGCTCATCAAGATAATCATTTATATACTTTATACCGACGTTTCCTTCTTAGGGTTACAAACTTCGTGGCAAACTTGATATACCCTGTTTAGGACATAATTAAGATATGTTGATAAAACTTGGTATACATATTCCTTGCCACCATGAGAAAGAGACGTAAAATTTTATTCGAAATGGTCACCTTTTGTTTTCACACAAGTCCTCAAACGATTCGGCCATTGATCTATAGCAGTGCGCACAGTTTCTAGTGATAATGCCAAAGCCTTTTTGAGACAATTCAAATTTCTGGTACTGGGTACCTACCCATGTAGTGGGTATTCAACAGGCCATGTCCTTCAACTAGCTAGGAAACCTGGTGTATTGCTTTTAAGCCACTGCTGGGGAGGTTGTGCCTTGTGTACTTGTGTACTGGAACAGAATCTAGCTGGAAGATCCACCGATTACCCGAAAATGTAAAGCGATAAGAAGGTGCAAGATCGACAGTGAAAATTTTTAATCGGGGAATTCACCTCACTACAAAGGAATTCACTTCGTGAAATACAAGCATTGTTTTGCTTTTAAGAGAAAAAAATCTGTTGAGGTTAGGCAACTTCTGTTGTTAACATTATCAACCAGAGAATTTTGATGAGGAAACCAGATAATGAATAATATGTCATATGCATTTCTATACTCTCGCAAGCTGATGCTATAGAGAATAATAGTTTTGTTCACCTAACGGTTGTTTGTATCACCTAAAACTAATCGAGTTAGATATGTTGTTATGTATATATAAATGATCAGGATGAAGAGACGAGTTGAAATCCGGGTGACTGTCTGTCCGTCCGTCGGTCCGTCTGTGCAGGCTGTAACTTGAGTAAAATTTGAGATATCTTTATGAAACTTTTTACACATGTTTCTGGGTACCTTAAGACGGTTGGTATTGCAGATGGACGTAATCGGATCACTGCCACGCCCACAAAACGCCATTAATCAAAAACAAATAAATTGTCATAACTAAGCTCCGCAATAAGATACAATACTGTTATTTGGTATACAGGATCCCATTAGGGAGGGGCCTATGCAGTAAAAAAATTTTTTTTAGTGGGCGTGGTCCCGCTCCTAAACCGCAAAAGCTATATTAACAAACTTCACTACTAATAGCGCGATAAATCAAGCACTAAACACGCCAGAGACATTAAATTTTATTCCTGGGATGGATTAATATGATTTAATAGGAACCGCGTTCAAAATTGGACAGTGGCCGTGACACCGCCCACTTTTAGGTGAAAACTCATATCTTGGGATCTGCTTAACCGATTTCAATTAAATTCTGTACATAACATTTTTTTCATAACTCTTTGTATGTGCGAAAATGGTGCGAAATCGGATTACAACCTCGCCTATTTCCCATATAACAACTATTTAAATTCCTTCTGATTCGTTCACTTTCCACTGTACAAATCAAGCAACAATGATTGTATCGGGGTAAAAATTTGCGTGAAGAGTGTGTTTAAAGTATGCCACCTTGTGACCAAAAATTGTCCACATCGTACTAAATATGTGGACCCGAGTGCCTATAGTTACCTTTTTACCGAAAATATCGGTCAATGTGTAAGATATATAATTGAAATTCATATAATAAAATAAATAAATGAAACTCTTAATAATTTTGCCAACACCTGAAGTAACTTCCCGGGCTTTGATCCTTGCAAGTTGCAAGAGTATAAAATGTTCGGTTACACCCGAACTTAAAACTTTCTTACTTGTTTAAATTTGTATTTAACTAAGTAAATGTATACTAACTTATGAATTAAGAACTATTTTGAAGCAATTAAGTATTTCAAAATTTATGTACATATGTATTGTATGTATTTACATATGTAAATGAGTTTATTCATTACATTAGGAAATATAGCTACATAACTAATATTCATATGTATATCTATGTATGTATGTATAAACTTATATACATATATGCAATATACAAAATACATGGCATCAAAATTGACGAGCTAAGCCGCTTCATTAATAAAAGAAATCGTCACACACATCTCTCCTGGCATGCCCGTGCCAGCAATCATTGCATAAACCTATAAGCAGAGAATGTAAAATCAGAGAACGTAAATGAATAGAGAAGGAGCAAATGTTAAATGAAAACTTTTTGAGTACTAATTTGTAATTCCACATGAAGGAACATCGAAAAATATAACTTCGAAAAAGAAAAATACACCACACAATATGCGAAATGCTATAAATAGACACAACGAATATTCCTATAAGAAAAAACGTTGCGCATACCTATTTAGATTTATGTTTTCAATTTCTATGATATGACAAATTTATAATTATGAAAAGCCTTCTGA